CAGATTGATGCTGCCTGTTTGATTAAATTGGACCTTAAAGATTCAATTCCTGTCTCTCCTTTATTGGCATTTGGTGGTGACAGGTGGCCCCAACTCTAGTCTTTGGTTACATGACAAGGTTGGCAAAAGGAAGGGTTATTTCAGGTAAAGGCAAATTCCCTAGGGGAATGAGGGTGTATTCCCATGCCATTTTCCTCACTAGTGTTCATTAGGAAATTCCAGAGTGTTCTTCTGTGGGATCTGTGGAAGACTCTAAAGCTGTAACAGGCAATACATCTAAGGTGGGGTCTGACAGGAAGACTATCTTGGGGCTGTTTTTCAACTTTTAACAGAAGCAAGAACAAATCTAGGGAGACAATTGGGAGACCTGTAATCATTCAGGTGAGAGATGATTGTAACTTGGCCATGAATGCGGAGGTGGTAATGGAAACAGCAGAGAGAAGCAGACATATTTAGGCTTTTGGAGGTAGAATCTCATGCTAGACAGGGTGTCTGGGAAAGGAAGGGAGAGTGAGTGCTAAAGGCTGATTCCCAGGTTTTAGTAATTATGCGGACAGTCACTGCTTTTTGTTGGGGAAAGATTGAAAGTTCAGTTTTGAATGTAGTAAATGAAATGGGGAGCAGGGAATACAGCCTTTGTGCACAGAGAAATCTGGATTAAAGATCTTTTTGGGAAGTCAAATTGAATGAGGGTCTAGGGGTTGTCTCAGCACTATCACCTTTACACTTGAGTTTGATCCCTGGCGAGGGAGCTAACCTGTATATGGCATGGCAGACCTCTCCTATCTTGCCTTCTGCTCCCCACAGCAGTGTATTTCCTGTTCCATTTCCTGCGCTGTCTCTGCTATACTCTGTCCTCCCCCTCCTCCCACCTATACCACCTCTGGCCTATACCCCAGTTCTTCTATAAAAAAAGAAAATTTTTTTAAAATGAAGTCACCCAGGGAAACTCAAGGCCAAAGTCAGGGACAGCAGCACTAGAAGATGCAATGAAAAGAAGGTGTCACCCAAGAAAACTGATAAAGAGGTGTCAGATGTTATAAATGTAAATTTTACTTCAATAGAAAAAAAACACAATAGAGGTGTCAGAGAGGTGAGAAGAAAACAAACAAAAAAGGATGGCATTAGGGCCTCCCTGGTGGTGCAAGATGTTAAAGCACAGTACTTGTGAAGCTAAACACAGCCAATGCAGCAAGCGTTCAATCCCCAGCCAAGGAAGTAACCCACATGGCACAGCAGACCTCTCCTGTCTCTCCTCTGATGCCCTCAGCAGAGTACTCCAGCAGATCTTCCTGTTCTGCTCCTCACTCTGTCTCTGGTGAATCCTCTCACCCCCATCCTTCCGACCTATACCCCAATTCTTGTATGCATAAATAAATAAACCTTAAAAAAATATATGGTGTCCTAGAAGCCAGGGAGGAAGAAGTTGTAACTCCTGAAGGAGGTAATGATAAAGTCTTGAAAATAACTGAATGTGTAAGCAAGATGAGAACTAAAAAGGATTCATTTAATTTAGCAATGAAGAAATAGTGGGGTATAACAAGAGGAATTCTGGTGGAGAGGTTTGGGTGGAAGCCATGTTGGAACAGGTTGAGGATGTGAGAGGTAAGGAAGCGAAGATGACAGGTTTGTGAGTGGAGCAGATTAGTGGGCAGATACTGGAAGTGAATTGTGGGAGTCAAGGAAAGATTTTTTTTGGAAGGTTAAAGATACTAGTGGACACATGTGCTGATGGGAAAACAACCAGCTGAGAGTGTAACAGGGGAGTCCCCAGGAAAAGGGGAAGTTCCAGGTTCCCTGCTCCACCTAGGAGGAGGGTGGAGCAGAGCAGAGAAAAAGAAGAGAAGAGAAGGAATCTGAGGAGGAAGGAAGCAAGATGGAGAGCCAGAAGGAGACCTGAGGAAGCCACATGGACCAAAGGGAGACATGTGAAGAAACCATGTTTATTTCTGGGCCCTGACCTGGTTGAAAGCGATGTGGGTGAGAGACCCATGGGGAGGTTGCCTATGGCAGAGCTTATGTTGATTTTGATTTTGCTCTTTTCCTCCCAGACTTGTCTGGCCATTTCTGACCCTTTTCCATGGGTCCCGGCCAGAAGATGCTTTAGTCCTGTGGCAGCTTTCAGGCCTTGCTTTGGGCCAATCCCTTTTGGGTTGACTTTTGCCCACGAGGGGATGGGTCACTTCAGGTGTTTGATTTAAAACTTATATACTTTGTGTTCCATATTGTATACTCACTATATTAAAGTCCCTTTTCATTAAAGTCTTACATGTTTTGTCTTGATGTGGTGGATGGCAGAACTATTTAGAGCAGGCAGGTTTGTGTGTGCCCCTCGCCCTGCCCTGTAACAACAGAGGAAGAAAAGGAACAAACCAGGAGGGAGAGGAAGGGTCAAAGGTGCAAAATCAAGGAGGAAGGAACATCTTTAGACTCTGATTCATGGCCTTCCCTTCCCTGCAAAAAACTGAAGAAAAAAAAAAAGTTCCCTCTCACCCATTATTTCATAATTTTAAATGTTTGTAAAGGACATAATTTCTACTTTTGTATATTGTGCATGCTGGCTCTTTTTGTTAATTTCTATATGCAAGTTCACTAATCTTTTTGTTTCTGTGTTGTCTGAACTGTTAATTTCATCTAGTGATTTTTCATCTCAGACACATTAGTTTTCATTTCTACATGTTCAATTTGATTATCTATCTGTTCTTCCAAGGTTCTTCTTCGCTAATAAATATGGAATACTGCTATAACCATTTTGAGGGCTCTGTCTGCTAATTCTTACATAAGTGTGAATTTGCAGTTGGTGTCTATTGATTTTTCTCCTCATTATGGGTTATATTTTTCTGCTTCTTTGCATGACTAATAATTTTTTCTCATTAGATCCCAGACATCGACATTTTACATTTTTTGGGTGTGGGCTATTTTTGTATTCCTATAAATATTCTCGAGTTTTGTTCTGGAATGTAGTTACATCACTTAGAAACAGGTCTTACTTTTGAGATTAGTTAGATGGGGACAAATAGTGTTTACAGTAAAGATAACAAGTTGCCACTACTGAGTCAAAACCCTTGTAGTACCTCTAAGTACTGTTCCATATACCATGAAGTTTTCCAGCTGTGCAATGTGAACTGGTACCGTTCCAGGCACAGTTGGCTACTGTTCCCTCTAATATTTTTGGGTGGTTCTTCCCTTGGTCTCAAGTAGTTTCCTCACATCTGTACAACGAGCGGAGCTCTGCTGGTTGACAAGGGCCACTGTAATTGGAAACTCCTAAGAGTATTTCTCCAACCCACACTGTCCTCAGGGCTCAAAGCCTGTATTTCCAACTTCCTACTAGCCAACTCCCCTGGAATGTCTCAGAAGAATTTCAAGTTTATCATCTTCAAAACTGAACTCTCAATCTTCTCCCACACAAATACGTACTTCATAATTCTCTCTAACCCCTTTCTTCTCTCTAGTACTTGGTCCCAAATACCACTGGAACAGGCATTGCCATAAAAAGGGGAGGGTTCATGTTCCCTGAACCTCTTAATGAGGAGCAGAAATACAGTTTCTGCACTGGCAAAGTACAGCTGTGACTATGCAGTTGTTTCTTTTCCCTTTCTACCGGCTCATATCTGTGCAAGTGTCTTCTTTCCTTTTCCTAATGAATCTGTCCTTTTGAAAAGAAAAAAAAAAGTGAGCAGCGGGGTGAAGCTGGATAACACTGAAGGCAGGTCAGCTCAGGAAAGACAGGAGGGCCTAGTTCTTTCTTGGCTCTTGACTTGTACCAGGAATCTGGGAGAATAAAACGAGACTTGTGCTGGAGATACTCATTGAGACACTTGAGAGTGACTCAAGTGAAAAACATGAGGGGAGGCTGACAACTGGCAGCTGTTATCTTGATTTGTACTTTGTTTTTTGCACCTTTTTCCCAGAGGGGCACCTTCTTTGGTTCTCTGTCAGAAGGTGCTTAGGGGTGGGAAGGAAGAGCACCAGGGACTTCAGTGATGGTGCACTGGTGAATTGGTGGTGGGAATTTATTTAAGATTTATTTATGCACACAGAATTGGGGTACAGGCTAGAGGTGCAGGGGTGGTGAGAGGATTCACCAGAGACAGTGGGGAGCAGAACAGGCAGATTGACAAAGTACACTGCTGAGGGGAGCAGCGGGTGGGTCTGCCGTGCCATGTGGGTCACCTCCGGGGCCGAGGATTGAGCTTATGCTGAAGTGGCTTTAGCTTCTTAGTGCCGTGCTTTAACCCACTGCTCCACCAGGGAAGGCCCAGTGGTGAGAATTTAAAGGGGAAATTATACATTGTACAAAAAGTGAAGGATGATATAATGAATATATTAAAAAAAAAAAAAAAAAGAAGGTGCCTTAGACTTATGGAGAGCTTTTGGGTCTCAGCAGCCCTGCTTCAGGACAAACTTGAGGGGCTGGTTAACTTCACTTCAGTGTTTTATAGGGAAATTATGATGCTTTCTTCTCTTCTCTCTCTATGCACATTAATAATATTGAAGTTGTTTTACATTAAGTCTCCTTTGTATTCGTGCACATGGATGGCCAGACCCCTTGAGAGTATACAAGTTTGGGGGTTCTGGGGTAGTCCTCATTTTCTCTGCTAACACTATTTCCTTAGCTCAGGGATTCTGTATTGCTCTGCCTCTAGGTTCCCTCCCTGGATAATGTCCTAGAAACTCTCTCAAGCAGTAAACTGGGACAATTGTAGGGTTCACCCCACTTGTTTCTCCCCTCCTGACCCTTGATGTCTAATGACCATTGTCATGCAAATGGTTTTATGCATTCTCCCCCTCCCCCCATTGGGCTGATTATTTCAGGAAGGAACATTAATCTGGGCCTTGCTACTCCATATTGGCTGGAAGGGGAAGGTGTACATATACTTTAAGTATGCTTTTGTTCAAATCATGGAATTGCAAGTTTTAATAACTCCACATTTGGAGTCATCCACCACATATGTATTTTTTCTTTATAAAGATTTATTTATTTATTCATACAGAACTGGGGTACAGCCAGAGATGCGGAGGGTGAGAGGATTCACCAGAGACAGAGTGGGGAGCAGAACAGGCAGATCGACAAAGTACACTGCTGAGGGGAGCAGCGGGCGGGTCAGGAGAGGTCTGCCATGCCATGTGGTCACCTCCGGGGCAGGCGGGGATCGAACTCATGCGGAAGTGGCTTTGACTTCTTAGTGCTGTGCTTTAACCCGCTCCGCCACCAGGGAGGGCCACATATGTATTTTTAAACCAGTCCTTTCTGTCAAACTCATGAGGCAAATCAGACTGACTTTCTCAGAAAAATTTGGATTCTGTTTTTCAATTTCAAACAAATGCAGTTGTCAGGCCTCCTGTATCAACCTCACACTTTTGAACTTTAATTATTAGGTGGGGAAGGTACAGAACTGAGCCTGAGGGCTGCACCCTTTGAAATTTCTCCTAGAAGCTCTGTAGGTATTGTCCCCACAAGGATTTCCTTACACAGTACATTCTCAAGTAGACCTTTTATTTTTTTTTTTTTTATAAAGAAGAGCGCAGGATTTAGAAGGGAGAGGGTCAGCTGGGAAAGGGGAACACAAGCAGATGCAAAACTCCTTCTTAGTCTGATCAATAGGAGGACACATGAAGAAAGCAGCTCTGGAAATTGATTCCCTTCCAACAATCTGTTCTAGCTACAGTCTAGAAAATCTTCATGTCCCTGTGAGAATGCAAGCCTTAGTTGAAAGCCTTTGATGCCAACTGCTTGAAGCCATTGGCACCATTACTTCTTCCATCTTATAATTGAAGGGATGGAGAAAGAGATAGGCAGCAGCAGGGGGAGGTAAGTTGGGGACTTGATGCCTTGGAGGTGAGATTTCTACCTGATACTTGCAGTTTTCTTTAATGAAGAATGACTTTTGTCTCCTGAAAGTGTGGGTGTGAGGAGGTGGAGGGGAACAGATATTTGAGAATGATCCAGAATGAAATAGACATTACAAAGAATGGAAACTAGTAACTAGAATGGAAACTACAATAACTAGACAGGGTCAAGGGGTCAGTTGAGGTTCGGTGGTCATGAACTCAAAACTACTAACCATTTACATGAGTTCTGATGGCAGCACTAAAGTTTTGATGTTTGTGAATTTGATAGAATGCTGGTCTTTTCCCTAGGTTGAGGTAGAAGGTAAATGATCACACAGAAGCCTCATACTAATTATAAATTTATCAAGGCCCTTCCAGTATTCTCAACACTAGATGGCTTGGACAGCCAGACATTTGCATAATGCATAGTGGATTTTTTGTTTGTTTCTTATCTTCCCAGTGAACTGGGTTACAATTTCTTCTCTCTCCTCTTTTTAAAAAAGATTTGTTTAATTATGCATACAAGAACTGGGGTACAGACCAGAGGTGTGAGGGGATGGTCAAAGGATTCACCAGAGACAAAGTGGGGAGCAGACAGGCAGATCTATTTATCATGCTACTGAGGGGAGCAGCAGGAGAGACAGGAGATGCCATGTGGATACCATGTAGATAAGCTCCCTGGCTGGGGATGGAACCCATACTGCAGTGGCTGGTGATTGCTTGATAACACTGTCTTTAACCCCTGCACCACCAGGGAGGCCCACAATTTCTTCTCTTAAGCATAAATACCTCTAGACCTTGAGTTATAGTCATCCCTGTAAGTAAGGGTGAGGGTAGAAAGGGTGAGGAATGTCTTGTTTTCCTATCCCCTAGTAAATGGGATCTTGACACAAAGCATGGGGTGCCAGAGAGCTAGCTGGTCATTGCCCACATGTATTGTCAAATTCTGGGATAAAGCCACCATGAGAAGAGATTAGAAACTCTCCAGACAACAGGTGCTAATTGTTAACCAATGTGTCTGAGAGATTCTGGCACAGTAGAGAAGACGAAGAGTGAGGCCAGTGAAACTGAAAGTAGGTTTATTTCTGCACTCTTGGGCGAGGCTCACTGACCCCAGAGTGAGTTGAGGTTGGAGAAGTCGCCCCTAGGGAGGGGTAAGAGGAGTTTTTATAGGCCTAGGTAGTGGGGAGAAAAAGGTGGATGGAAAATTTTGACAAGGTACTGGAACATATTTTTCTGCCTGGGCTTGCATTAACCGGTGGTGACAAACAACTCATGAGGTTATCACTCCCGAATATCTGCTTCTCTTTGGAGCAAATATTCCTTCCATATGCTGATGTTTGGCTAGTGCCTGACCCTTACCATGTCCTCTTTCCTTATACCTTTTACCTGCCTTCCTGGCCCAGCATGCGCAGGGTAAGAATGGAAGGGGGTAACTGAAGGGGGTAAGGAAGTTTAGCTTATGTATCTCAGGTGAGATGTCTCTCTCAGAATCAGGTCAACTGGGCTATTACCTGAATATCATGGTCTGGGATATGCCATATGCAAGTAAAATCTAATATTCTATCAGTCAAATCTATTTCTGTCTTAATATCATCACCTTATAAGTTCCCAAAGTGCCACAACCACAGGGATTTTTTCCCCTATAGTAGCAAACTATACCAAGTTATATTTTTAAAACATACAGTACACATACCTATAACACTCTGAGGGTGAGTTCTAGGATCTGTAGCACAACTACGAGAAATGACCTGAAGCTCCAAATGAATGTCAAAGTAGTTCTCTAAGTATCTCAGTGGGAAGAAGCCCTTTCTTAAATTTTCCAGAATAAACATGGATGCTATAACTGGGTTTTCCCTGCTTTCAGAGAATGCTTTTAAGGCTCTCCAAGGCCATACACTCATTGTAACCACCCATAATAACAATAAAGTGAATGGTTCTGAGATGCAAAGGAAATTGAAAATGTTTTAATCCCACTCTCCAAAACTGAGTCTACAGAGGTGGGCTGGATTATCCATTGATGTGGACTGGGCCACCCTAGGGATAAAGTGATATTTTAGTTTACCACTGGGTTCTTCTAGTCCTCTGGGCACAGCCAGATATAGAACAGATCCAGTTGGCACCTCGGTTGCTCTGGCTTGCCTGCCTTCCTGTAGAGTTGTGTAGTTCTGGCCTGCAAGAGTAGGAACCAGAAATCCTGGAGTAGGGCTCTTCAGTGCCCAAATCCCTGTTGTTCCCCCACTTGACACCTTTGTACTCAAACATTTCAGGAGTTGTGTTCAGGCAAAGTTTCTGAAACTCCGGTGACTGACACAGTATCTCCCTTTGCAAGACATATGTGGGCACAGAGGTTCTTTTTGGCCCTGTCACCCTCCCATAACAGGGGCAGGAAGGCCTCCATGACTGGCCAAGAAGCAACTGAGATGTTGGGCTCTCTTTTGAATCAAGGACAGACTGTTGCTCACGCTCGGGAAGAAGGGTTCACCTCATCACTCTGACTCATTGTCCCAGATGAGACCAAGCTCTCTTGCCTTGGCTGTGTGACAACAGAGGGACACAATCCATGGTGGGAGAAGCCAGAACCCTGAAGAGCAGCCCGAGGGCAGGGCAGCTGAATTCCACTTGGATAGGGAGAGAGAGAGGTGCCAGCAGACACCTGGGGCCAGGGGGAGGAGGAGAGATCCAATTTATGACCTCCCCTCCCCAGGGTTGGGAGTCACATGGTTTTAAGCAGCAACTTATCCTGTCATGGTCTTCTGTCTCTTTCATAGCTCCTGTGTCTCCTTTAGGTTTTTGCCCATTTTTCATGTGTTAATTTTGTGTGAGAGTTAGTGCTCAACAATATAGGGAAAGAGCAAAACAAAACCCCGTGGTTTGCCTCCAGCTCTGCTGCAGACTGGCTCTGGAAAAGTCCCCTCCCTTTGTGATACTCATCTGCAAAATGTCTCTCATACCACGTTCTGTGGAGATGCCTGGAAGTTGAGAGGTTCAGTGGAGAACCTAAGAGGCTGCAGTAGAAAGAGAACCTGCTTTGTACTCCCCCAGCCAGCACCTACCAAAGGAGGTGCTCTGCTTTAAAATATCTGCTTCATATACTGTGTTCCTACACAAGGATTCTTTGGAGAAAGTTTCCTGAGGCTACAAAGTTTGAAAACTGCTGGCTGATGGTTAAGGTCCCTTCCAGTCTGAGATACTTGCACTTCTGAAATACAGCTCAAGTCATTTCTCCTCCAGGAAGTCCTTCTGGTGACAATGCTGATGACTCTCAACACTGATGGGCATATGGCTCTCAGCACACACTGCATGGTGCCATTGGTGACCCACTGATGCCTGTAGGTATATGTGAGCTGTTTGCCCGGCTAGGAGGTGATTCCTTGAGGGCAGATCTTCCATTTTCTTCTTATGCTTCTGTTTTCTCGTGCCATATGAAGAGGAGATATTCAGTAAACTTAGGATGCTCCAAGGGTCCCCTACTTCCCCATGGGATAAAACCTTCCAGAGACACTCTGCTTGGGGGAGGGGGGCCAGTCTTTGGTCTGCTGAGCACCCCAGAAAAGAACAATTCTTAGGGCAGGACAAGTCCCCATGGCTTGGGGAACAGCTTCAGACTCACTCCTCAAAAGGGCAGGCCTAAACTGACATGAATTGTTGCCTTCACTGAACTCTGCTCAAATACTACCACCTTCAGGGCCTCTCCTGGCAGAGGCTACCCATATCTCATGGCCATGCACCTGAACTTGAACCTGAGAATCAGCCCAGCCAGGTTGCCCAATGGTTGGTATATGTCTCAGCTGGCTCTGGAGGGTAGCACAAAGGAACTCCAGGGTTTGCTCAGAGTACAGCTCTCTCTGGAGCTGGAAGCCTAATGGGAGGAGAGAGGAGACTTTGCTCAGACACCTGAAAGCAGGTTGCAGGAGGGTGTAGAGGTGAAAGCGCAAGACCTCTAGAGGTGACGCCCCCCTCGTCAGGTAGCCAGGAGAGTGGGAGCTGTAGTGGTGGGATGAGATAAAAATCCTGCTCTGTTATATGCAAGCTGTGTGACTTTGGGCAAGTCACTTAACTTTTACTTACTCTCAAGTCCTTTGCCTGTAAACTGGGGGCAAAAGCACCTGGCCAACTTCAGGCTACCCCGTAAGGAAGGTGTGAGATTCTAAGGAGCTAATGTGCATGGAAGGGTCCTATGAACTAAAAGATGCAGGGAGGTAAAAGGTTCTTATTGTTTGTGAATGAGGAGAGCACCAGAGCCTGCTTCTCACAAGGCTCCATCCCACAATTGAGGGATGCTCGGAGGCTGACCATCCCTTCTGCTTCACTCCTAGCAACCATCTGCCTGTCCTTGAGTTCCTGGTCAGATGGGAAAATGTGAGGGGGGCAGAGCAGCTCAGGATGGGGAATCAGGCCCAATTCTGACCCTAAAGAGAAGTGTTCTGATAAGTGCCCCTGAAGGGTGTGAGGCCCAGGAGGCTGCTGAGGTTCCCGGGGGGGGGGGGCTTTTGTGGTTTGTGAGGTATCCTTCAGGGTCCCAAGGGCGGATGCCCTTAGTCCTACTGAACTTCTTGCCACTTGGGTTGGGATGGGGGCTAGTCACCTCCTCTGATGGCCTGGAGCTGCACATCTGGCCTCCCCCTTCCAGAGGTGGGTCCTCATCAGGTCATATGGAGAGTTTGGCAAAGACCCTCCAAAGACCTTCCTCACTGAATCCTGCAGATATAGGGAGTAAGTAGCAGCCTGTATCGAGGTCAGAACATCTGGCAGGGTTTAAAATCCACAGCTGGAGAGTGAGACCCACCATGCTGTTGTGGGGCAACAGGCACTAAGCCTGGCTCTGCACCTGCCGTGTCGCCTATGATGGCCTTCTGTGCTGAGGTCTGGCCCCCCTCAGCTACTGTAGCCTGAAGTGTGGGTGCTGGGCCTGCGCAGCCAAACGTCAGGCAGATCTGGTTGACTGTTGGGCAGCACCACAGGGCTGCCATCCCCTGGCCCCCCACGACCCTTCCAGGATGAGCTGCTCTGGTGGGAGGCGGGCAGTGACGGATCATACACGGTCTCCTTCAGGGCCAGCCACAAGGTGTCCCGCTTCCCATTCAGCTGGCCACGCTCAGGTACAGTTTGCTCAGTTTCATCCAGGTCCTCTGGGGAGGCACCCACGGAATCTGGCACACGGGCACTGGGCTCAGAGGTGCTCAGGCAGGTCTCGTCGGAGACGCTGAGCCCTTCCAGGGTGCTGGCAGAGGAGCAGAGACAATCAGGAGGCACTGTAGCCTTGGGTTTGGGGGAGTTGGCTGGGACTTCTGGTGAGGTCTGTACGGGCTCAGCCTTCTGCCCTTGGGAGTCCTGCCTGGCCTGGGTTTTGGGGCTGGGGCCAGCCTGCTTATAGGGGGAGGAGGTCTGCAGGGCTGGGCACTGGCTGAAGACCGTCTGGTGGTCTAGGAACAGCTCTCTGGGGGAAGACGGGGCCAGGGGGGGCCGGGAGCAGTAGGGGCCATCATGGAGCTGCAGATCTTCAGAGAGTACAGAGGGCCGGTGGGACAGCTTGCTGGTGGCTGTGCTGGTGTCAAAGCTAGGGCTCCGGCGCCGTGCCAGGGGCTGTAGCTCATATTGCTCTGAGCAGGACCCAGGCACCCCTCCTCCTGGCCCTGGTCGTGGGCGGCCTGCCTTCTCCCCACTGGGCTCCCCAGTTCCAGCATCCCACGGGAGATGGGCACAGGGCCAGAGGATCTGCCCACAGTTCTTCTCTGGCCCAAAGAAACAACACAGAGACTGGAAGAAGAAGCTGGCGAAGCCGCAGCTGACACACTTGACCATCATGAGAACGATGCCCAGCTTGCGATAGAGCAGCACCGTGGCAGGCAGCATGAGCACACCGGCCGCAAACAGCGCCGCAGCTGCCACCGCCGTGGCACAGCTGGTTTGGCGCAGCGAGAAGGCCACACGACTCAGGCGGTCGGGGTGTGGGCACAGGTGATAGGAGATGCAGTAGTTGACAGTGAAGTCCACGGAGAGTCCCACTGAGGCAGAGAGAAAGAGCGCCTCGGCAGTGTTGAGCTGCCATTCCAGGAGGACCAGGAGTCCCACGGTGAGCAGCACGGTGCCTGCCACAGCTGCCACGGAGAACAGGCTCAGTGGGACATTCCAAGTGCCCAGGAGCAGTGTGGCAAAGGCCAACGCCAGAGCCAGGCCCAGAACCACAGCAGGTTCCACGCTCAGGCTGTGCTGCAGACTATACAGCTCTAGTTTGCTGGTGAGCCAACCTCTGCGGAGGCCCAGAGGTGCCCCAGCCAGCTCTGCTGACAGCCAGTGGTTGACCTCAGTGTAGAACTGGTGGGCCTGGCTGTAGTCGGGACTGTATAGGAAGTTGGTCTGGAATTGTAGGACCAGGGCCACCAGATTACCCTGGGTATTGAAGCGGAGTCCCATGTCACGTGTGCTGTCTGGGCCTAGCTCCAGTGTCATCATCTTGAGGCAATGCAGGAAGAGCTGCGGTGCCCAGGGGAAGTCCGAGTGGCCACAGCAAAGGCCTGGTCCTAGGCGGGCACAGCCTGTGCTCTCCATCCAGTGCTGAAGGGCCTCCACAAAACACAGCGTGGGCCAACCCTCTGGCTGGACACCAAAGAAGCTCTGATTACGGGCTCCGTGGCAGAGGGCCAGCAGCCAGCTCTGCGCCTCGGGGCTGCTGGCTGAGAAGGCAGGGTCACTCACTAGGGAGGTGTTGCTGCGAGGATCCAGGGGATCACCAGTGTCCACGGGCAGGATGCCCCACACCAAGACCACAGGCATATGGCTGCCCTCGCCCTGAGGCAGACGCTCGAACAGGAACTGCTGGCGGTACTCTGCATCGAAGCGCTCGAAGGGGTGGCTAGGCCTGAAGACCTGGCCACTGGGCGGTGGCAGCGTGGGCAGTCGGAGGCGGGGGCTGACGCCAGCGATGTAAGCGCCCCCTGCCGCCAGTGCCGCGAACCAGCAGATCCAGATGTAGCGGAACTTGATGACGCCGCAGGGCAGCAGGCGCTGGAACAGCAGGCGCGAGGTGCTGGCCGCCGCCCTCCGGAGGCTGCGGAGCCGCCGGTGCAGTGCCAGCGCCAGCCTCCGGGGCGCGCTGCCTCCCCACGCGCCCTGAACCCCGGGCGCACAGCCGCGCGCCAGGTAGCGCTCGTGGAGCACAGCGGACGAGGGCAGCCAGGCCAGCGTGAGCGCCAGGTGCGCCAGCACAGCCGTGCCCATGTAGAGGGCGAAGCAGCGCACGGCCGGCAGGCGGCTCAGGTAGCTGGCGTAGAAAGCCGCACCCGTGGTGAGGCCAGAGACCAGCAGCAGGTAACCAAAGTGGTGCATGGTGCGCCCCACACGTTGCTCCAGCCCCCCGGAGGGTAGCTGGCTCTTGCTGAGGCGCCACAGATCGAAAAAGATGAGGGTGTGGTTGGCACAGACGCTGCTGAGCAGGACAAGGGCTGCCAGATTGACGAAGGGGAAATAGGCCATGCGGAAAGCCACGTGGTAAAGAAAGAAGGCAACCAGCAGGGAGCCCAGCACCCCCAGCAGCACCATGAGCGTGAGGAAGAGTGATCGCAAGTAGAGGGCCATGCTGAGGAAGATGGCAGCCAGGGCCAGCAAGGGGTAGACCGTGTCCTGGGCGAGGTAGTGCTTCAGGAGCTCCTGCTTGAGGCCCAGGTCCATGCCGGTGATGGATGTGTAGTTGTCAGACAGCTCCCACGGGGCCGCTAAGCGGTCTAGGTAGATGCCCATCATGGAGGCACCCTTTGGAGTGGGCAGGAAGAGCAGGCTGTACTTGAGGGAGGGTACCTGGTAGTCAGCAGTCTGGGGACTCAGAAAGTCCCGGTCAAGCAGAAAGTGAAGGAGTTGGTAGATGGCACTACTCCGAGAGCACTTGATGGGGACCTGGGCACAGCTTGGAGGCTTGTCTGGCCCAGGTCCTAGACAAGAGGGCACCAGGGCACCACGGTGGTAGTAGAGGGCACAGGCCCGAAGCAGGGCCAGCGTGCGAGCTGCATCTGCTTGGGTGGTATCCAGGCAGGAGGAGCGGTTGGAGAGCACAGCCACGTAGTTGCCCAGGGACCAGCTGGGACAGCACTCGTTGGCTGCTGTACGTTGGCACAGAGCCCCAAAGCGGGCATGGGAGCGGATCTGTGGGGTACACACAGCAGGATAGAGCTCAGGGGCAACCCAGGGGCTCAGGTTGCCCCAGATGTCTGAGATCCTCTCACCCTCCGTCATGTTGCAGGGTAGATGGAGAGAGATATTTTGACAGTTCAGCAGAACCGGTTTGTCTCAGAGCTGCCTTTGGCTCCTGGCTCAGATGCCAGCAGCTACACCTTGACTCCATCAAAGAGGAGCCTCAGGGACGCTGCCCAAGGCCTCAGCCCGAGAAGTCGTGACTTAAGGGTCCTAGAGCACACCCCAGTCTGCTCTGTCTCAACCTGGAATGGGGGTAGAGGTGGCAGCCACAAGGGTCCAGGGAACTTGTAGGAAAAGTGGAAGCCAGGTTTGGGGTCACTGCCAAACCCTAGCCTCCCACTTCTGCTCACTGGGCTGCTTAAACCCTCCCAGGAACTGGGCTGTTTCATGCCTCCTTTTCTCCCACACTGCTGTTGACGCTACCACAGCTGACCCAGGTCTTAGGTCCACAGCTGTAGTGGCACAGAGGGCCCCGAATGGGAACCAGAGGCTCTGTTCTGCCACCACATGGCTGTATGGGATTGGACTTGAGGTTATGGTGACGATGGTAACATTTACTGAGGAATGACTCTTACCAGTCATCGTGCTCTATTTTTTACAAACTCTATCTTGTTTGTCATGACATCCCTATAAGGAAAGTATCAGCATTATCCCCATTTTATATATACAGAGGCTAAGGCACTGAGAGGTTGAGCAAGGTGCCTGAAGTCACACAGCTAGGGAGCATTAGGCATCTGACTCCAGAGCGCATATTCTTAACTGGTGTCTTTGAGACTTGGAACACCCTTTTGTGAAGTGAGCAGCTGGGACTGCTTAGTGGCATTCACAGTGCTTTTAGCAACAAACCTGTCTTTCTATACGATTCTTTAGTAAGCATAAGTAGTTTGGCTTGATGGGGCTTGAGGGCCTTGGACATGAGCCTCCTCAATATAGCTTTTGGGGTTCCATTTCAGGGCCTTTTGAAAATCCTTGGGCTTTCTTCCAGTACCTATGTCTTGGCTGACCGACCAACAGTTGACTCTTCTTTCCCCACCTCGTTGAGGGCTTCTTACTAGGTCAGAACCATTCAGTCCCAGTTGTCCCTGCCTCCCCCCAAACTGTGACACCCACCAGCCAGCTCACCTGGTCCTGTTCCATGCGACACATGGAGTGGATGGCGTGTAGGTTCCACAGGCTGCCGGCTGAGGTGGACATGAACACCAGCTGTGCATAGCTCTTCTCTGCAACACACCCCAGAGCTCAGCCCTTTGGCCCTGGGTTTTGGGCTCACCAAAGGGAAGATGCTAACCCAGGGCCACGGTTCAGCCTTTTCAGAGCCTGAAATCTGTGCTTGGCTGCCTGACCCTGGGCCGGCATCCCTCCCCTGTGCTCCCACCCCACTGGTCAATCCTGACTGGAGCACCCACTACCAGCACCATCATCCTAGCTGTAAACCACCTTCTCTGGCTTCAGTGTAACCACCTTTTCTTTCTGTCTGTCCAAACTTGTTCACTTGTGCTAGGCATGGGTCAAGAACTGGCTGGGCTTCCGCTTACCGGGGGGGCCGCAGAAGAAGTTCTCCTGCCCTCTGTCTTCCAGGGGCTCCACCATCCTCCGAGGCCGGATCACACCCTCTTGCCCACTGCTCCAGGGTTCAGGACTCAGAGTGGTGTGGGGGTTTGAGCTGAGGTAGAGAGAAGAGGTATGCCAGGCACCTTCAAGGGGTGGAGGACTAAGAGGTCAGATACAATGTTCCTTGAGAACCACAGCAAGCCCCTCTGATCTCAGGTCATCTCATGTTTCTGCCTGAAGACTTCATTCTTCCCCCCTTTTCCCCTTCAGTGGGAAAGATGGGAACCCATTACCTGTTCAGATCGAGATCTGGGGAAAGGGACAGCAGCTTTCTGGGGCCTGTGAGGGCCTGCATTGCTCTCCAGACCACTAACTTGCGCCCAATGTCCGTGTCCCGAGGCTCAAAACCCTGCAGGGAGGAGGACAGAGAAGAGCAGACAGACAGGAAAAGTTCCCACCTGGCTCTTCTCACCTTTGCTTCTTTGGGTTCCTGGAGAAGGAGGGCCAGCCCACCTGTCAAGTTTGTTGGATGAGGATATCACCTCTACCTCATTCCCCTGACTATCTCTGGAGACTGAGAGCCCACCATTGCCAGCCCACCCCCACTTGGTCCACTCCAAATTTCTTCCCCAGACTGAGCTCATTTGCCCAGCCTGGGGTTCCCTTCTCTACCCTTGCTCCTCACCAGCAAGGGCTTGGAAAAGTCAGGCAGCTGACTCCCCAAGAGTCCAGCCAGGGTGCAGAGGAGGATGACAGCCAGGCACAGGAGTAGCATGGCCACTGGCCACTCAGCAATCAGCTGGGAATAGCTGGAAAAGAGGAAGAAAACCTGCCTGATTTGGTGTTGGGGTGTGATAGGGGGTGGGTGAGCTTAGGACTCACCATAGAAGTGGTGGAACTAAACTGGGCACCAGACTGGTCACCCTTGGGGTTCCAGAGAAGGCCCAGTCTCACCTTTTTGGCATCCGGAAGGCCCGTTCCTGTCTGGGGAAGAAAAGAGACATATGTTTCTTAAAGTCCTCTTAGAGATGGAGGAAGATAGAAGAAGGTGGTATGAATTCTTTCAGGCTTTCCAGCTCCTAAGCTCCACCCTTGCTTCCTTCTCCATTTGGACTGCCTCTTTCATCAGAGGCAGAGAACATCTGGCTGCTTTCTAATGAAAGACTCCAGAGCCCTGGATGGCAGCCCCACTTTCAGCTCTGTCCACCTCCCAGTGGCTGCTGGCAGGCTGCTCCTTACCTGACGCTGACCACATGGTGTTGCACAGATGGTGGTTTCCAGGTCCCATCACGCTGTGAGGGGGCAGGGGAAGGGCTGAGGCTCGAACCATGGGAACACAGAGCTGCCCGGTCCCCAAGCCCTGGGAGGGAACTGCCTCCCCGGTATTCTTGTGGTGCCCGGGGATAGGTGAAGTTGGTAGGGGCTAGGGGGCTGGAAGGACCCACAGGCTGGAGGGTTGAAGTTGTTGTTGGGGGTCCCAAAGAACTGGAAGGGTCCTCAAGGGGGCAGCTGTGGAGGGAGCAGCTTTTTTCTGGGCTGGCCTCAGGTGCCACGGCCTTGCTTTGGGACCTGGAAAGAGAGCAGGCAGGGAGATGGGGGTGAGGGGTGGTGGTGGAGCACCCATGCCCTAGCATTGTTCAGGAGGCAGAGACAGGGAGAAGGGAGCTCAGGTTGCTCTACTTTCAGTACTGGGGGAGAGGCGAGTTGAGTGGGGACTCAGGAGGCTACTACATCCCTAACCTACTTCTTGGGGTCCACTGTCTCTGTCACTTAACTGTCCATACAACCAGATGTGCTTTTGCATATATGATCTTATTTACTCCTTAATAGTAAGCACTTTCCTTATTTTACAGATATGAAAACTGAGGTTTGGTGAGATGTGAATGCACTCAGAGTAGGAGGGCAATATGCTCTGAGAGCAGAAACCACAGGAGTGTGAATGTGACCTAGTGCAGAGGAGGGCCCAGCTTTGACAGGTTGGGAGTTGACACAAGCTATGCAACTTCTATCAACCGACAAATTCCGGATGGAAGGGAAATGCTCTGAAAAATCAGAATTTCTATTGCTAACTTATGTCACGACCTCCCTTTTTTGTATACTCATAATATCAAAAATATTCTGAGCAACCATCAGTTTGCAACTGGATTGCCTTGGCTTCATAAATTGGCTACTTGGCCGGGGCAAAGTATGAGCCACCCCAGGGCAGGAAATTCCTCCATGTCTGGAGACAAAAGGCAAATTCCAGGAGAGATAAGACCCTCCAGAGCATCAAGACTCATGGGACCCTTCCTTGGTCTTTTAGAACAAAAAGCAAACCTCTGATAAAACTCCCAGGGCGTAAGGACCCATGGGAAATTTCCTAACACTATTGACACAGGTTTTGCTGAATGCATAACTATGTGATTTCCTCTTAAATTGCCCTTTTCTTAAACAATCTCTAACTACTATCTGCTAGTCTTAATTAACCTTTCCCTAAAACAAGCACTAGCTACTCTCTGCTAGCCTTAAGTTAGCCATTAGCTTTTCTTTAGACTATCACCGATGACTCTGCTAACACAATTTATTCCTTCCCTAGGGCCCCTAAATCCTTTGCTAACAGCTCATCCTTGCCCAGACCCCTTATCCTTTGAAGTCATAGTTAAACATCCATAAAGTGTCAGGAAGAGGATGCATTGTTCCCCTCTTCCTTTAGAACTTTTATGCTGATTTCTTATTAACTTACCTGCTGCATTATTGTAACTAACTCTTGCTAACCAGCATAAATAAAGACCTGCTAAAAAGAGGAGGAGGAAGACTTACACCCAACTCCAATTCCCGGGTCTTCTTGTGCCTGCTCCCCTTCCCCCTTTCTAGGAATCTCCGCTTGCTGATGCTCCCACCTTAAGACCCTGCCTGTTGGGGCTGCTCCCCAACAGGGAGTGGACATGAAAAGTTTAGCAGAAGCAGTTGCTGCCCTTCCACTAGCCTTGGACCATAAGACAGGTTTGCTTAGCACATGTGTGCACAGTTGGGAAGGGGAGTCGGGACCCCCAAGGAACTTGCCAAGGGAGAGTCAGCAGTAGAGTCCTCTTTCAAAGCAGCTCATGAGGTTGCCTGTTTCCTGCCACCCCCCCACCCCCACCCCCAGTTCCTCTACTTGGTCTCTGCAAGGACCCAGCATCATTGTTTGGAGTAGTTGGGAGGGGGAGTCTCACCCAGTGGCAGGATTGCCAGACCTAAGAGCCTGAGAGGGTTCCCACAGGGGTTCTGGGCAGGGCAGCCTTGGCAGAGTCTATCTCCTTTCTCCCATCTGCCTGGCTGGTCTGGCCTGCTGGAGCTGGAATAGCTGCCATGGTAGAGCCAGGCTTATGCTAAGCCAACCCTGGCTGCTGCATTGCTGAAGGGGCTGTGGGCCAGAGTCCCTGCTAGGGTGGCAAGTGTACTTGCCCATGGAGACTGGGTTCTGTCCAGAGACCGAGTAGAGGAACTGGAAAAAATAAGGCAAGCTCTTTCTCTTCCTCCCATAAGGCTGTCTAGATGGCACAGCAATCGGGAAAATGCCCCTCATGAGAGTAAAATGGAGGATAGTGGAGGTGGGCTCCAGGCTCCAACATCCTTTAGCTCTGGGGGCTTGGGAAAGTCACAGTTGTTGGTGTGCTGGCATCCTAGTCTGTTGAATGAGGGTGTGATGATAATGCCCTATACCCCTGCAGCTTTGATGTGACATTGAGGAGCGCCAGTGGTACAATCGGTTAGTGCGTGGTACTTGTACAGCAGTACATGATATGACATTGAACTGATGTGACATATGTGAGGTGCCTGGCTTGAATCCTGGTGTGTGGAAGACACATTTGCTTTCTTGTTCCTGCCCATACTCAGTGCTACAGGGAGTAGGTAATTTAAGAGGCAAATTTATACTTACAATTTGACCTCAATCATTAGGCAACTCAGGTAATACATTTCCATTTTAGAACTTCTCACACCTTGAGAATCTCACCACATATGTAAGTATATTTTCCTCTTATTGAAAAGCTGCAGCAGAATTTAATCTCATGATTTAAATCAATGATGCTTATTTTCTTATCCCATTCTTAGAAAAATAAAAAATTGATCAAAGTTGTTTTAAACCAAGGCTTTAGTGAACACAGAGTTAAGAAGGTTTTAGTGAACACAAAGTTAATAACATAAGCAACCAGTGTCCTGGCAGATAAAAGATCTTATGGCTCAGTGGGGGTGAAGGGTGGGCTGGGGGGAGGGAAGTGAATGGGACTATGGTGATGGCACATGGGTGACTTGGTGATGGAAAACCCACGGGGATTACAATTGAGACCAAAAAAAATGTACAAAATGATGTAAAAATAAACCATTATATTATAAAAAACAAAACAAAAAATCTTATGGCCTTATCACCTGACCACAGGGAAGCTAGATAATGGTCTAAGTTTATGCATGTAAGTGTGAATATCTTCTTTAATATTTTTATTCTGCAGGTATTTGCGGCCATTTGCTGAGCACTGTATTGTATTGGTCTGGGTTGGGTCCTGAAGGTATGAAGATGATCCATTAGTCTTGATTACCTTCTTTAGAACAGGACTTGCCTTTGAGATTGAGGCAGCTGGGTTACCTATTCCAGCTACCCATGGCCTGAGAGCACTCATAAACGCTGACTTGTCCTAAGAGTCAGACTTCCACTTGGAGGGAGTGTCAGTTTCTTTTTCACTAAGGGAAGCCAAACTTGGGAAAAGGTATGTTGCTGAAGGAGACAGGGCACACGCTCCCTTAACTAGTCTGCTAAATCTCGTAAGTGCACCTTTCTTAAATGGCTCTGGTGCAAGCGGAATTCCAGTCTCCAGACCCCAGTGGAGTCTCCCTGGTCCCAGGGTCTTCCTTGTGACCCCTTTGATCCCTGGCCTGGAACCTAGGATCAGCTGTTTCTAAACCTCACTGTGCCCATCCTTGTCAATGTGGCAGGATTTGAAACTCTCTTCATTCCTATAGCTGTAGGATAAGATGTTGGTTTCAACCTTCCCTGATTCCTCAGGAGACCTTATAATATGATGTAAGCACCCTGGGCCTTGCCTCAGGAGATTTCCATTCTCACCCTCTCAGTTCCATGGCTCTGACTGGGATGAACAACTTCCTGGACTGCCTGCCTTTGTCCACTGACCAAGTGGCTGGGGCAGGCAGGCAGGGGCAGGGGTAGCAGTGGGGAATGAAGAGAATAGAAATTGGTGACACAGACCTCACTGTGGCCAAAGTCATAGCAGTGAACGCCTGGCTGACATGCAGGCCCCATTTGAGTGTCCAAAAGGGGCAAATGTACTTGGGCATTTAATTATGACCCTGGGCTCACAAGTACATAACCGTGTGTGATCTCACACAGTGGCCAGGACAGATGGGGGGAGCAGCTCATGCACCTAGAAAAGTAAAAAGGTAATTTTAAAAACACAGAAAGTGAATCATTTCAAATTCCTCTATAATCCAAGCATTAGTAAAAAGGCTCTGTCGAGGTATATACCAGTGCTGTCTTACTCTTTGTGTATCTCTTTTCAGTGTTCTGAATTAAATGGAGACCCTTTGTCTGATCAGGGTCTCTGGAGAAATGCAGAGAGGGTCCAGAAATCTCGGGAATTGCTGGAAGAGAGCAAGTGGCTTCTGTGCCCAAGACTGACCCTCATATGCAAAGGAAGTGACCCTTGGCAAAATATCCAAAGCAGCAAATAACTCTCCAATTCCTTCTAAGGTAGTTAGAAGGTAGTTCCTTCTAGCCCCAGACCCCTATCTGTCCCATCACTCTTCCTGCCCTGTCCATCCTAATTCTCTGGTGATGCCATAGTCCTAGCCAGTCCCCTGGCACTTGGAACACTTCCATCTTCTATTTCATCTCCCTTGAAAAAAAAAAATCTATGCCTTTTAATCTGAAAGGCGCTAAATCTATCCAGACTATGTGTTAGCCATAGATAGAAGAAAATATTCTCTCTACTTATGGGGCTTTCTCTTCACTCTAAGGTAGAATGTCTATTTTAGTTTGGGCAGCCTGGAACAATGTGTCCAACTTTGCCTTTTCCACCCTCCACCCAATGCTTCTTATTTCAGTTCAGTTAGGAGAGAAAGGCAGTGTCATGTAAGGGGAGGGAAAACGGGGGTGGCATATAAGGCAGGACACAGAAATTACGCCATATTGCTACCTGGTCGGGCTATTCCCTCTTAACTATGGTGGAGGAAGGGAGAAGAGAGGAAGAGCCCTGGACCCTCAGCAGGAAGGTGTCCTCCTGTCCCACCGGTCTGTGGTTCCATCTCGGACTACAGTGACAGCCACTTAGCCTCAGAACCTGCCCACCCCAGCGCCTCCAGCGAGTGCAGGTAGTTGCCACTGGCCGGACTCAGCCCTCAAGTGCGCAGCCAACCATGGGAGACAGGCTGGAGACTGACAGTGACGGACAAAGACAGCCCCTGGCGTGGGGACCCAGTGCCTGTTCTCCCAGGACACACACCTTGGAGAGTCTTCTGTCCACGACACACACGCTCCCTCCAGCACACTGACACGCTGAAACCCGGACGGAGGTTGCTGGGCTTGGGGCTTACTGAGAAGACGCAGGGGCAGGGCCTAGAGGGAGGGGCTCAGGAGACCGGTGCTTTGGGGGAGGGGTGGGAACCCGGGACCTTAGGGTTAAGGTGGAAATAGTGGGTGGGGCAGATTTCTGGGGCAGTGAGGGTGTGTGTGTGTGAGGAGGGGCCGGGGGGTTCACGGTAGGGGGTATCTGGAAGAAAGAAAATTGATTCGGCAGAGTGAGGGCGTGGCCAGTGGAGCTGCGAGCGTGGAGGCTCAGGAAGGGACTCTGGGAGGGGCTGGGGAATGAATGGGAAGACATATGGCGGCTACTGGGGATACCTGGGGCGGGGGTGTTGGGGAGCTCTAGAAGCTGGGTTTGAGTAGCGTTGTTCCCTACCTGTCCGGGGAGTTGCCGTCTGGGGCCGAGGGCTCCCCCTCGGGCTGTTGCTCCCCTTCCGGAGCCCGGCAGGGAGCCGGACCACTGCTGCCGCCGCTGCAGCTACCGCCGTCCATGCCCGTGGGCGGCGCCGCTGTCCGGGCGCTGGTGCTGAAGCGGCGGTGGCGGCAGCGGCTGCAGACTCCTGCGCATGCGTTAGTGCCAGGCGGGCCGTCGTTAGGCGGGGCAGGCGAGGATCCCACCAATGGGCGCGGCTCCGATGGGCGGAGACAGAGGCTTCCCGCGGTGCCGCTGCCCAGGCTTGGAAATTCGTGGTGTTTCAAGACCCCTTGGGATGGTGGCGTGGGTCCCCTTACCCGGATCTGACAGCTTCTTTAGGAGTCGGGCAATCTGACTGTAGATCGCACACTGGCCTTTCCCGGGAGTCGTTGCTGTTCTCGTAAGGAACCAGGAAGCGTGACCCAAAGCATCGTGCAGAGAGCCTCAAAACTTGAGGCTCTTCCAGCCAGACTCCGAGCAGCTCCACGTCCGTATTCACTGTTGGGGACGCCAAAAGTGTCGAGGGTTCGGTCACTTTAGCTCCACATTTCTCTTGGTTCTGCTCAGCGCCCCCTTCTGCCCATTGGAGCTAAGCACCTGCTCAAATTGGGTCTTATTCAGATTCATCTGGACCTGGGTCTGTGCTTCTCAGACGTGAAGCCCTGATTCGGTTACTCAAGTGTGAGGTGTGGGAGAGAGGCGGGGGAGAAGTGACCCCAGGTTCCTTATAGTCACTCCACATCAGCTAGGGAGGAACCCAAACCACTCCATGGCACTTGCTATCTCCCCCATATGGGAATGACAGTGAGGGAGAGGAAGTGGATAGGCCTGACTAGAGGTCTGTGGTAGAACTAGAATGAATATGGGCAGTGCGAGAAACTAGGCAGTTGGTGGGCTCCAAGCATGGAATCTGAATGTGCAGAAAGGGTTCAGCAGTAAGCAGACTGGGTTTATGTGCAGGGAGGTGCTGAAAAAAATGGGACTGGGGAAGAGAGTCAGGACCCAGGAGCATTTAGAGTACAGGTATCTCTAAAAGGTGTGCACATGTTACTCTGTGCAAGACATAGGGCAGTAGAGGTTGGGGATGAGAGAATCTAGAGGTGTAGAAGTGATGGACCTTAGCTCAGTAGTTTATGGTGTGGTTGGAGAGATAAAAGGCCAGCCTATAAAATGGTACCTACTGGCCAGGTTGTGATGAGGCTGATGTAGTAGTTGATATAAGTTGAGGAGAGGGCAGTGTGCAAAGAGACAGGCTCTCTGTCTTCCAGTGGGCCTTAAGGAAGGCTTCAGGGAGATGGTAGAGTTTCAGTTTCTGGAAGGAAGGTACTCCTGACCTGGGGGTGATGCTAGAGGCTATGCAAAGTTTGAGGAAACTGGAAAATTTTATGTATTTTCAGGGAATGATGAGAAAGACACCTGGACAGCAGGGATCTAAGATGAGACAGAATGAGGCATACAAAATAGAACCTTGAAGGCCCACAGGGGAGTACATGACGGGGAGGAGATGATAAAGCCACAGTTGCAACACTGATGGCAGGGAGCACAAATGTAAAGGAGAGGAGGGACGGCCTTATGTAACCATATGTTGTTAACCTGAGCCAGGTTTCTGGGATGCCTGGCTAGTACCCCATTTCCCAACTAGTGAACTCGGAGGCCACTGAGCTCCTGAGTGCCAGGTTGGATGTGAAGGAAGTTTTGCCAGGCCAACAGGGGAACCCACTCAGGCTCCTTATTCCACTGTCCTATTTCTTCTGCTTCCCCAGTGAAGTGTATCAGGAGGATGCCCACAGGAGGGGAGCCCATGGGGGTGGCCCCTCCAAAGTCAGTATCCAAAACTATGGTCAAAGGGTACCCACAGTGACCTGGAGGGTGGTTTCCATGGCCAGCGGGTGCCTTGCCTAGTGGTAGTACCCTTGTGGAAAACCAAATGAATAGCATTAGAGTCAGTACTCAGTGCCAGTCAGTACTCAGTGCCAACACCCCCTGCCCCAAATACCATAGAGGGCTTAGTATTCCTGAGCACTAGGAGACACCATGGTGGGGGACTTGAGGCAGAGATACAAAGTACTGACTGCTCCAGCTCTGTGTCTTTTGCTTTGACAAACCAGAGCACTGAGTAGAGAAAAGGGGGAGGGACCTAGGTTTAATGGGTTCTATTTCTTGAGAATTGATTCTATTTCTTGCGAATTGATTCCCACTCCCTGAGTCTCTCTTTATCTGTAACTAAAGCAGAATTATCTCCCTTTCTCTCCCAGGGACCCCTTATAGAGTAAGTGATTAGAGAGTTTGCCAGGCTAAGAACTGCAGGCTGCTTATACTTAGAAATGAGCCAAGCATAAGTAAGTATAACGAACTCACTGAGGGCTAGGGGCAAGGAGGACATAGGAGCACAATAATAGAGCAAGAGAAGGTAGAGGAGGAAAAGGTAGGAGGCAGGAAATGATGAAGTGAGTGTGTTGTCTATATAGGTAGTGTGAGCCTGAGTGCGTAGAACGAGGCCTTGCTGTGTTTACTTATAGATGGCTGTGTGTATGTGCAGGGGTGAGTGCATTATGCCTACTGTGCACACAACTTACCTGCATAGGGGCTGCATAGGGGTTGTGTGTATATGATGAGAGTGTGTGTGAGTTCAGACCTGTTCCTGAATAGGTGCTAGACTCCAGAAAGACACCAGAAAGAAGAGAAAGTAACATCAATGCTTTACTGCCTCTGCCAGAGAAACCTGGAAAGAGCCTTGGCTGGAACCACTCCTGGGGCCCCAACACCGAAGGGGTTTGTTTTTGTTTTGTTTCTGTTTTTTTTTTTTTTTTCCCTCTTGTCACTTGTCACAGGCCTAGGGAAGTAGACACACTGCCTTGCTTCTGGTGCCTAGGCACAGGAGGAAACAGGTGGCCTATTCCCCTACTCTAGAGGTTCGATAGCTTGCCTGCTGCCTTCTAGGGCTGATAAGGGTTTGGTTTGGGTGGGGAAGAGACAGATTCCAGGACTCAGAGCAGCCAATCCAGATTCTGTGATGCTTGGAAACATCCATTTCCCACCCTGCCTGCCTCTCCTCCTTTGATTCCTTTTCAATGGGGCTATTTCCAGGCCTAGGAGCTGGGTCTTTTCTGGCCATAGCCCGAGAGGAAGGGAGGCAGTTTCCTTTCTCTGGAAGACAGGTCAGGGGCCCTGCAGTTTGCTGAGGCTTGGGAGCAAGCCAGCCACCCAGGGAGACTGTGAAGGTAGCCAGGAAAACAGAGAGGCTTGGAACAGGCGGGGAAGCAGCAGGAGAGAGGATGAGCCGCTAGGGCAGGGAGGGGATGTGAGGAAAGGAGAGAGACAGATGGGAAAACAGGAGAGGAGCTGAGGAGAAGGCAGCAGCCTGCAGGGGTGGGGAGTAGAAAAGCTCTGTGCTGCCGGGTGTGCTCCATGCCTGAGCCTGCTCCCAAGTCTCCTACTCCCTGCAGATCTGGGAAGAAGGCCGGAGGCCTGGAGGACATGGCAGTGGTAAAGAAAAAGGGGAGATCACTGAGGAACTTTCCTATTTTCAGATCTACAGGAGAGGAAAGGGGGAAAAGCAGCCACTTCAGTTATTTGGTTCTGTAGGGAGAAATCACATTTTCCCTGAGGTTGGTTTTCCACCCCTCCCAGGCTCTTCAGATTTGGTCGCTTGCCTGATCATCATTCCTCATTCATACCTTCAATCACAGAATTATACTAAAAGTTAAGACAACGTTCCTTTGTGCATCCCTGTTTGTTAAGAGCTGGCAGAGAGCACCAGGGCAGAATGAGGCTACTTGGGAAGTGTGGGCTCTTGTCCCCACTCTGTCACTTGTCTGCCCTCCCAAATTCCAGGCCACTAAAGGAAGCACTTTGCAGTGGCAAATCCCGATCCCCAAGCTTCTATCTCTAGTAGACTAGCCTCCAATCCCAAATCCTACTTATCTCAACCTACTTTTCTGCCTAGTTCCACTGGACAGGAGAAAGTGGCACTTATGACCTTCCGGTCCCAGTTGGCAGACTTTGTCTCCTACCACTTGGGAGTCTCTCTTGATCCTACCCTGTGTAGGATCAAGTCCACTTAGGTTGGGCCATGCTGCCCACAGAGCTGAGGGTCCAGTGGGCTCATTTTGTAGTAACCAATCTGAGTGGTTCTGGGTGCTCTGAAGTGTTCCATTAGTAGGAATCACCCACTTAATTGGATTTCTATTTCTGGAGGACCAGGATGGTCTTCTGTTCCTTTGGGGGGGATCTAATGGCACAGCTGCCAAGTGCTTAGTTCTGGACTCCAGACCTAATCACACACCCATGGCCTCCTGCTAAGCATGATCTCTAACTTCCCTGGGCCTCATGTCTACCATGGGGCAAGCACCTGCCTATTTTACTGAGATTAAAAATATGATGAGATGAAGGATGTGTGAACATGTTTCTTAAACTGTAAAGTGTTCTATAAAAATACAAGGGTGTGTTTTCATTTTGAAACCTTTTACCACCTGCACACACACATACTCTTGGCTGTAGGCAATATGTCTGAGTGGTTGTCCCTGCCTTCCCTTCTACCCTCCCGGCCATACTGCCCACCTGGTGCCATCTTTGTGGGAAGAGTCCAGGCAGTGGCAAGAAGAACAGGTGTGGTTCCATAGATGTAGTTCAGTTTACTATGATCTAACTTTCGGTCTCTCCTCCTCCTCCTAGGGATGTACACATGTAACCCCTTCAAGATATCAAGGGATCAAACTGCTCCCTCTGGCTTAGCTTGGTTCCCAGCATGGGGCTGGGCACAGAGTAGGTGCCAGACATGGGAACTGAGTGGACGAGTGCCTTCCTTCCTTCCCTCACTCCCTCCCCACTTCCTCTCCCTCTGGCTTCTTTCCCCTCCCTTCCCCTCCTCCTCCCTTCCTCCTATTTGGAACATAAATATTTAGCTGAGGTTAACTTCTGAGTTATGCCCATGTTCCTTCCTGCTACTCCAACCTTCATAAGTTTGAAAGAGATCCATGGGGCTGAACTTGGATGACAGACAGGGAAAGGAAACCTTAGGACCAGTCTGGGTCTGGCTTGGAAGCAGGAGAAAGACAGGCCTCCGACTGTCTCACCCCGTGGCAGTTCACTGTGCCCGACTGTCTCACCCCGTGGCAGTTCACTGTGCTGGAG